TTCAGCTCAAGGCTAGCGCTCTACCACTTGAGCCACAGCGCCATTTCCGGCTTTTTTCTTTTTGCTTATGTGGTGCTGAGGAATCGAACCCAGGGCCTCTTGCATGCAAGGCAAGCGCTCTACCACTGAGCCACCTTCCCAGCCCCTCTCTTTTTTTTTCTTTTGCCAGTCCTGGGGCTTGAACTCAGAGTTTGGGGGCTGTCGCTGAGCTTCTTTTGCTGAAGGCTAGTGCTCTACCACTTGGGCCACAGCGTCACTTCCAGCTTTTTCTGTGTAGATGGTATTGAGGAATTGAACCCAGGGCTTCATGCACGCTACCACTAAGCCACATTCCTAGCCCAGCCCTTTTTCACTGCCCAGCCAGCACCACCAGGTAGTGAATGAAGATGCCAGGTCAGAGATGGAGACTTCCAAAGGAAAACATGGGTCTTGAAAAGAAAATTGCATTTTGTGCGGCAGAACAGAGGAAAAGAACATCAAAACTCCCTTGGAATCTCCTGAGTATTTAGCCCATAGCTGTCCTCGGCTGCAGCTCATTAGGCTAAGGAGCCTGTGCTCCTCATCCCCCATGACCTGCAGCTCTACCATCACCTCCACTCCAAGAACCAGCTTTCCAACTGAGAACACACGTGTGTGACCTGACCACACATCAGAACACCAGAGGCCAAGATGGGCAGAGACAGGCACAGGCTGCTGAAGTTGTTACATAATTTCTTTGGTATGTGGCCTTCCAGGAAGCTGGCAGCACTGCTAACTGATGTTTCAACTCATGTCTGACAAACAAAAGATGAGACAACGTAAAAATATCCCACACAGAGCCAGCCATACCTTCCTCAGCAGAGCACCATCAAGGACAGTCCTGGCAAGAGCAAACATGATTGCACAGAGCAGCATGGAAACTAGCACTATCACTCCCACTGCTGCCAGCCAGGGGAGGCTGCAGAGGTAACACGAGTTCTCAGCTGAGGTGCAAACTACGACGTGAATGGCCGAAAGAACCAGGAATATCAGATAAAAGAGCAGAGAAAACACAGGAGATGACAGAGCGACATCCAGCTCGGTTCTTCTGTGCAGCACCTGTGGGGTGCTGAGGAGAAGCAGGGTAAGGACCTAGAATAAAAACAAAAACCAGTCACCAACAGTGTCTGTGGATGGCCACACCAAGTGAAACCACCTAAAATGAGCAGCTCCTTTCTGTATACACAAAGGATAGGAAAAACGACCCAAGGAAAGATTCCTTCTAGTTGCCTGCCAAAAAGGCAGAGCTTAAGCCAGGCTTTGGTGGCTCACGCCTGTAATCCTAGCTACTCAGGAGATCTGAGGATCATGGTTCAAAGCCAGCACGGACAGGAAAGTCCGTGAGACTCTCATCTCCAATAAACCATTAGAAAACTGGAAGTGGCACTGTGGCTCAAGCAGTAGAGCGCTCACCTTGAGCTGAAGAGCTGAGGGACAGCACTCAAGCCCAGAGTTCAAGCCTCATGACTGACCAAAAAAAAAAAAAAAAAGGCAGAGGCTATTTTATGTGTGCAGTAATACCTGAGAGTACTTTATGATTTGTCATAAGCTAGGAAACACAATGGGACAGTTAAGAAAATTCATATTTTCTGTGTATAGCAACACCGATTTTTTTTTTTGAGACTGGGTTTTTTGTGGAACCCAGGCTGGCCTCCAACTAACAGTCTTCTGGTCTTAGCTCCCAAGTGCTGGGGTTATAGGACACCACACCTGGCAGTAATGCTAATACTGTATATATTTAAAAGTACTATGTTTTGACTGAGTTACCAAATCAATTTAATACCTAAGCCATTATTACACAAACATCCATACCTCCAAAACCACAACTGTCCCCACTACCATCGAGTAGATGTCATACTGGGCCACTTGTGTGCTCAGGGACAGACTCAAGGTCTTCAGTGCACCCAGGTACTGCCTGAGCACCTTGGTGCCCAGGCCAAGCAGAACATCTGAATTGTTTTCTTCCAAGTGCAACTTGACCCAGTTTCCATGTAGCTTTTCTGCCATTTTAAACTGCTCAAATCCAGGATCTACCAGGACAAAAAAAATTACACATATACATCATGGGCATGCATAATTATAATCTCTGAATATTCAGTTATTCCTGGCACAAGATTTTACAACTTATACCTTATGCAGGCAGTATTGTTCTTCAGGGAAGTTGCTGCCTACATTAGATATAAGGTATAGTTGAAGGACATCCAGCCAACACTAGCACCACCACTGCCAAGGCCTGGCTATTCAGCACATACAATGTAGACAGATGTATCTGTCCACTGCTCAGCAGACTCCCTTTCTACCTACTTCCCTGTCCTAGTCTTACCTTCTCCTCCCTATTCTTGATATCTTTCTACTTTTTCTTCTTGTAAATTATAAAAGCAAAAAAAAAATGGCTTGTCTATACTCTGTCTTAGGCAAGAAACACAATATTGAGTAACAGGAAAAACTCCTGCCTGTTTGGGCTTGGATCCAGTAGTATTCATAAAAATAAATAGTCGATACTCATGGACATATGAGTTCTTCACATACTGTGAAGAACACCATGAAGGAAAAGTAGATTGGAGTACAATGAGAGAGTCTCGGTAATGAGAAGGAACTGATTGGGAGTGGGTAGAGAGGGCAAGGACGGGCTAAGATACAGAATTAACCAGGCAAAGAACTGGGAGAGCATGTATCCAGTCACTGAAGATCCGTCCTGGAGTGAGAAAAAGCGGCTCCTGGTACAACTGAAAGCCATATGGCAAGACCTGGCTGAGTGTTGTAGAGGTGTGTAGGCCTTGTGGGATGGGAAGTAGATGTACACCGTGTCTGAATGGTGTATAGCGTGCAGACCCTAAGAAAGTTTCCTCATCCCAGCAGGCTCTTTTCCTCCTTCCCTTATCAGTCCTTGATTTCTTCTAAGGCCATAGTTTTGTTTGTTTGTGTTGGCTGTGGGGCTTGAACTTCAGCCTGGACACTGTCCCTCAGCTCTTCAGCTCAAGACGAGCGCTCTCCAACTTGAGCCACAGCCCCACTTCCATTTTTTTGTGGTGGTTAAATGGAGATAAGAGTCTCATGGGCTTTGGCTTTGAACTGGGATCCTCAGATCTCAACCTCCTGAGTAGCTAGGATGACAGGCGTGAGCCACTGGTGCCCAGCTATAAGGCCGCATTTTTGAAGTAAGCAAAGCATCTATGCGTTAAAATCATTTTTGGTTGGTGATTTCTTAATAACAGAACATATGAATAACAATAAATGTACAAAAACTATCAAGGCCATACAAGTTATTTTTGAAAAAGAAAAAAAGCGAGGGGCTGGGAAGGTAGCTCAGCGGTAGAGTGCTTGCCTTGCATGCCTGAGGCCCTGGGTTCGATTCCTCAGCACCACATCAGCAAAAAGAAATAAGTCGGAAGTGGCGCTGTGGCTCAAGTGGTAGAGC